AAATCAGTCTCATCATCTCCAAATAACAATATAAATACTTTAGTATTAGCTTATTTTAAATAGTGTGTATATACTTGTATGCAAACACAATTGGTTCTCCAGTTTCTAACTTCTCAAATGGGTCAATAAATGAAAAAATAAATTAAAATAAAGCCAGACATGGTGGCACACACATATAATATCAGCACTTGGGAGGTAAAACCAGGAGAATCAAGAGTTGCATAGCTAAGTTTGAGGACTGCCTGAGTACCTGAACTACATAAGACCCTTTCTCAAAGGGGCATGGGGAATGGTGAGAAGAAAAAAAAAAAGCTATAAATTGTCCAAGATATGTGTGTGTGTGTGTGTGTGTGCGCGCGCGCGCGCGCGCGCGCGCGCGTGCAGTCCAGAGGCTGACATCAGGCATCTTTTTTTAGTCACTCTCTGCTCCCTACTTACTTATGAAACAAAGAGTCTCTTGCTGAACCTGGAACTCACCTATTCAGCTACACTAGCTGGCCAGTGAGCTCCAGGAATCTGCCTGTTTCTGTTTGCCATATTGACTTAATATGATGTTCTGGCTAATTTTATGTCAACTTGAAACAAGCTAAAATTATCTGAAAGGAGGGAACCTCAATTGAGAAGATAACTCCATAAGATCCTGCTGTAAAGTGTTTTCTTAATTAGTAATTGATGTGGGAGGGCCTAGCCCTTTGTGGGTGGGGCCATTCCTGAGCTGGTGGTCCTGAGTTTTATAAGAAATGCTAGCTGAGTAAGCCACGGGGAGGGAGCCAGTAAGCAGCTCCCCTCCATGGCTTTTGTCTGCATCAGCTCCTGCCTCTTGGTTCCTGCCCTTACTGCTTTTGATGTTGAACTGTTATACGGAAGCATGAGTGAAATAAATCCTTTCTTTCCCAAGTAGCTTTCTTCACAGCAACAGAAACCCTAACTACAACATGTGGGTTCTAGGAATCCAAGCCTAGTCTACATAGTGAGCTCCAGGTCAGCCAGGGCTACAAGAGACCCCATCTTTACAAAAATGAAATCAAAAAATAAAAAAACCTGAAATCTCTTCAAATTACCAAAGCAATACAATAAAGTTACAAGTTATTTTTCTAATATTGAAACTAATTTCAAATCCTAAGCTAATAAGCTATATGATGCTGTCATGGTCTATTATGATTAACAGACTAATAGCATACACTCAGGACACACAGAAGAAGTTCCTTCACACCAATTACAAATATTCTAAAAGCAAATGAGGGCTAGGGAAATAGCTCAGCAGGTAAGGCCAGAATAATAAAAGCCTCCAGGGCCAGGTTCAACTGCCCAGACCCACATACAAAGCTGGAGAGATGGCTCCACAGTTAGGAGCACTTGGTGCTCTTGCAGAACACCCAGGTTCAGTTTCCACATGATGGCTCACAATCATCTATAATCCAATTCCCAGGGATCTGGTGCCCTTTTCTGGTCTCCGTGGGCACCAGACACACATGCAGTGCCCATACATACATACATACATACATACATACAAGCAAAACATTCATACACATGAAACAAAAACAAGGAAATCTTTAAAATAAAAAAAAAAGCGGGACACAGTAGTATACATCTGTGAACTCTAAATTCCTTTGGCAAGATGGAAGGCAGAGACGCAGTGACAGGTGAATCTCCCAGAAGCTCATGAGTTGGCTAGCCTGAGGTACCTCAGTTCAGCAGCAGAATCAAGAGAGATTGCCTCAACAAAGTGTAGACAAAAACAATCTCAAACACACACACACACACACACACACACACACACACACACACACACACACACACCACTAAATAAATAACTGAAAAGGTCTTGAAGCAAATGACAGGACAATCGAAAAGACTCCAACCCTTACATGAACTCATACATACACCTAATTCCCAAAGGAACAACACAACGATCATAGAGAAAGGTCTACTTTAAAAACTATTCTATGCCGATTCATTTTTCAGACTCCTTATTTTTATTTCCTCTACTTTCAACTGATCTGAGGATTATTTTTTTCCTAAATGGTTTTTTAAAAAAATGTATCAAACCATAGTAAAGCAAACTACAGATCATATATTCAGATCACTGTTAGCCAAAATGTATACTCATTTGGTATTTATACTAAAACACATTTAGGACTGTTATATTTTAGGAAAAATAAAATTATTTTAATAGAAGCCTCATTTATAACTGGGAAGGGGGCCAAATGTGATAAAGTAGAAGAACTACAAGTCAAGGTGACTTTAATTCCCATGTGTTTTACACGTACTGTATGACAGGACCAACTCTGAGGCTCTTAACCTGAGAAACAAAACCAAATAAATCACAGAACTCTTGCAAATACTTCTGACACAATCCTACCAAAGGGATGTGTACATTTAATAAAAACAAAACAAGAAGCTCACAATGACTTGGCTGATCAGAATATGATATGACATTTCAGAGTATTAGCCGATAGAAATGGACAGCTAAGAAAAGTTATTTCTTTAGTTAATGTGAAACTCCTTACAAAAGCTTTTAGCATTTTCTAAAGACAAAAAGGAAAAAGTATATTTCATAATTATTAAAATGTCTAAGATTCCTAGGATACCTGGCCAGGACTTCTACAGACTCTTTGAGCAAGATTCTGAAGACCAACTCCAGAGCTCTGTGGAGAGCAGAATTGGGGACCAGCTCTCAGCAGTGGCCAGAGGGGCACACAGGGTTTACTTTGGCCACAGAAAACAATGAAGGCTTCCCACAGTGGGGGTGTTAGAGCTCAAGAGAAGTTATTTAGAGCAGTTGTGAGATCTCACACTCTTTAATAATAGAACAGACTCCCTATTTGCCATGGAATGGTTCTGAAGTACAGCCATTCAAATTCACAATTAGAAGGGTTCTTAGAGTCCCTTCGAGACCCAAAGACCAAGAACCACATCTACATCCACAGTCAACATTAACAAGAATAAAGCAGCTTCCTTTCCAAGGCAACACCTGTATTAACTGGAGGACATTACAAAGGCTTTCCATGTAGTCTAGGTGTTTGACAGGCTATCCAGTCTCTCTAAATGCAATCCTCTTGCTCTTACTGAAATGCAATGTTCACTTTTCTAAAGTTTAATTTCTAAAGCAAATTCTAATTACAGAAGGGCCCCAGATTACCAAACTGATTCTAGCTATATGACCTTGGAAAGTCTCTTCCTGTAAAATGAGAGCGTGAAAGTGAGATCATTAGAATGTAAACTCTATTCTGTCGGCCGCTCCGCCCTCTGCCACTGGGACAGGTCAGGCAGGAAATGTTTATGACAGTATCACTGCCGTCCCAAAATACATGTATGTCAAATAAACATGACCGTTGTTTTAGCTTTCTTTTCCTCCACTATTTTTTATCCACGTGCTAAGGATGGAATCCAGGGTTTCATGTACACTGAACATATTCTACCACTGAGCTGCATTCCTAGTCTCACTTTTTTCCTTTTTAATTATTCAATTTTAGTCTGGATCGTCTCAAAAAAAAATTTTTTTTAAAGAACCCTGAAAATAAGATTTCTCATGCACAAAGCAAAAATACATGTATTTTAAAATAAGGTACTCAGTTTTTAGGAATGGGGGCACATTACAGACAGCTGGCAGTCACCACTGTTTTCACTCCAGTTCTGTCCCTTTGACCCATGACTGTATTCTGTTTCTTTTTCGTATGGAAGGGACGCTTCTGGTCCTATTAGCTGCCTCTGTGAAGACAACTTCCCCTTTGGGGCCTGAAAGGCCACATCTGTAAAACAAGGGGACTGAACTCATTATTAATTTCTAAAGTCTCTGCTTTCATTCTACCATTAATGTAGTCCCAATGCCTTGAGTCAGTGCTTACCACTCCTGGAGTCAAATAGCCTCCCAATTCGCCCTTCTCCAAACTCTTTCCTTTCCCCGTTATCTCTGCTGGACCAAACGAATCCAACCCTAAAACTATTAGATGGACGCGGTGAAAAGCTCCCCAGCTTTTGATGCCAGAGACCTGGATTGGAATGTAGGTTCTGCTACTAAATACCTAAAACGGTGATGCAGCAACTATTTTACTGAGGGTTAGTAAAATGTGCAGAGTCCCTAACCCAGAGCCCCACATACCTTTTAGAAGCCAGTTTCCCACTACATATGTGACAAGGGTGCCCAGGCTGCATGGTGGCATGGTGACGACTTTAAAACCACACTTCTGGTAGGCTATCAGAAGCTGGCCTGTACTCTGCCAGTACACCACACGAGCAGAGCAGCCCGGATCGCCAGCCCTCTGGAATTCTCACGTGTTAAGTGGTACAGCCTCCCACAGCCCCAAACCACGCGGCAGGGGCAATGAGGGCAAGACGTTCTTTCAAAAGATAGATTCTCGGGATTTTACCTGAAAGCAAACTTCTCAGCCTGCTGTTCAAAGAAGCCACTCGAGACTCTTCCAACTTCAATGTACAGGAAGTAAGCTAATGTTAACGTGCCACAAGTATTCTAACTTATTTTGATTTTCACTCATCGGAGATTAAAAGCAGGAACAGAAAATAAAATTTCTCACATAACGAAAACACACTGAGCCTTGTAGACTCGTACAAACATGTTCAGGAAAAGTGATAGTTGGCTTCTTGATTTCAAAATAGGTCAAAACTGGGGAGAACAAGGGAGGAGTGATGGGGACTGGCAGTTAAGTGACTTCAGAACAGTGACACACACCTTTAATCCCAGCACCGGGGAGGCAGAGGCCAGCCTTCTCTGCAAATTAATCATAAGCACTACAGTTTCTGGGTGACTTTTCCTGTTCTGCCAAGTCTGCCCTCCTCTCCCATATTCCTTGCTCACACTGCAAACCAAAGCACTAAAAGGCCCAGTTTTCACTATTTACGATCTGAGGTGGCTGATCAAACGCACTTGAGTCCCTCCCTTCCCTAGGCTCCTCAGTCCTGTTCCTTGTCCTCTCTGGCCCACGCCCCTCCCGCCCCCACCCCCCATACACACGCACATGCTCACCTCCCTAGGGCTACAACCCTTTTCCTCAGTCTAATTTCCCCTCATCTGTGACCATACTTACCCATTCTGGGTCCCATTCCTGACCTCATCACTGTCTGGTCCTTCCTTTGCTCCTGTTCTGCCCAGGCTTCTCTCTCACTCATTTCCCAATCCACTACTTGTCATCAGACCTGACCTTAGTGAAGCCCAGCCCTCCAACCCAGACCTCCTAACAGACAAACCTGCTCCTCTACCTTGTATGCATTCCCACCGTTCCTGGTCCTGTCTAGGCCCTCCTCATTTTGGACCCTGTCCTCTTTCTGACGGCTGGCTTAAAAATCCAAACCCTAATTCTAACCCCAACAGTCCTCCTGTGTGACCCGGCAAAAGGCCTCTATGCTGGCTGGCCTATCGCACTATTTCTGACTCTGAACCTGGTACTTATCCCAAATCCTTCACTGAAATCAAGTGCCACAAATACCCATTCCACTAAGACCCCAGTTTTGACACCTGATATTCATGTCCTTCCCATCTCCCAAGCCAGGCGAAAGTGGAAACGTGGACCCTCCTCCGCATGCCTCCAGGGACCCCTACCCGCTACTCAGCAGGCACCCCAGGAGACCCCTCCACAGCCCAGGTCCGTAGACCTAACTCCAGGCGGGCAGACTCCTCCACCCAAAGCCCGTCTCCCCATCTGACCCCAGTCTAATGACCCCGATCTCTGACCACAGCCCGTGCTGTTATCCCTGCACCCCCCAGTTTCCTTACAGCCCAAGAGTCCCGCTGGGAGCCGGGCGGGCTGTGTTCCCTGCCCACGGGACTCGAGTGCAGCCGCCTCTCCCGCGAGGTCAGGGCAGCCCCACTCACCTCCGCGTCCACCACCTCGTGGTAGGCTGGCGGGGGATCGAAGCCGCCGCTCCCTCCGGTGCTCCCGCCGCGGGAAGGCCCGCCGCCGTCCCCGCCGCCGTCGCCCCGTGGGCCGCCGCCCGGTCCCGGGCTGGGCCCCCCGCTATCCATGGGCTCGTAGCCTCCGTAGTCCAGGCCGGGCCGCTCGTTGGTGAGCAGCGCCACGGCCTCGTTGATGTCGTTCTTGGCCAGGCGCAGGGCCTTGCGGATGGTGGCCGGGTCCGAGAAGCCCATGCACAGCAGCGTGGTCATGTGCTGCTCCTCCTCCGATTCCATGGCTCCGGCCTCAGAGCCGCGCGCCGGCCGGCGGGCGGCGAAGCTGCGGCTCCCGGGCCTGGCGGGCCGCGCCGCGCCGCGCTGCCTCGGCGCCGGCCCCGCACCCGGGCGGCGGGGCCCCTGCGCTCCTGCCCCGCGCGCTCCGCGGCCGCGGGGCCAGGGTGGGGCGCGCGCGTGGGCGCCGCGAGCCGAGCCGGAGCGGAGCGGTGCGGTGCGGGGCTCAGGCGCGGCCGGCCGGCCCAGCCCTGCGCGCCGCCATGTTGGCCTGCTCCTCCTCCTCGCGGGGCCGCGCCTCCGCTCCCGGAAGCGGCACTAGCGGCGGCGGGCGGCGGGCCGTCCCCCCGGGCGCGGGCTGCGCGGAGCGGGGGGTGTGTGTGTGGGGGGGGGTGAGTGTGTGTGAGTGTGTGAGTGTGTGCTTCTCGGCGTCGAGGGCCAGGGAGGGGGGCGCGCGCGCGGAGCGTGGCTGAGGTGAGAGGCCGCGGCGCGCCGAGCCCGCCAGCGAGCGCGAGAGGCCGCCGCCGCCGCCGCCCGCCCCTTCCCCGGCAACAGGTTCCCCCTGGGACGGGAGGGGCGGGCGCGAAGCGGCTCGCTGGCGGCGGCGCTGCTGAGGTCCCCGGCCGCCCGGGCGGGCCTCGGTGACCTGACGCCCCTCGTGTCCCATCGCGGGCGACTCCACCAGCCGCCCCCGGAACCCTTGCTCGGTCCTCCTCGAGTGCTCTGCGGTCCGAGGAACGCGATCCCACGCGCCGCCGGAGCCCCGCTCGCCGCCCCCGGACCCCGGGGCCCGGATCCGCACGGCGAGCACCCCCCCTCCCCCCTCCCCGTCCCCGCACACCGTGGGCCTCTGACCCTCCGGCCTTCTCGGGAAAACCTCAGACCTTGAACCCCCTCTCCTGACTGGGTCTTCATAATGGCACTGGCCACCTGTCCCACCAAACCTGACTAAACTTCATCAGAGTTTTCGACTGAAATCCATGGAAAATCTTACATATATTTATTTATATATATATATATATATATATATATATATATATATATATATATATATATATATATATATATATATATATATATATATATGTCCCAACCCGAAATAGAAATCTCGGCGCTCTGTATGAAAACATCTGAAAAGTCGAACTGCGTTGCTGCCCTCCACAGACACATGGAAACATTCTAGGCGTCTATCCCATCCTGATTCTGACCACCAACCCGCCTTTCTACCGAAGTCTTTGGCTCAGGGGGCTGTCTGTCTTTGGGGCTCAGCTCTGTTTCTGTCTGCCAGCTTCTGTCTAGCTCTTTGCCTATTTCCACGTCAGCATTGGCATTACAGGGTCATTTTTCCTAGTTCCCACTGCCCTTTTACCCTCTTCAGTTTCCTCTAAATCATGCTTAGTTCGCCGCCTGGGATCCTCGTACTGGTTTATTCTTGAACCCAAAGTCCACCAACCTTCTTCCTCACACTGTTAGACCTCCACATACCCCAAATCTGAACTTATTAACAGTACTCAGAACTTTCCTCTGCATTCTCTCTGCCAATACATTTTCCTTCAGACTCTGGTGGCTTCTTGCCTAGTAACTTGACACTTAGTTTACAAACACAGGCGATTTGATTGACTGGGCGAATTACCATCACTTATATGTAAATAAATGTACTATCTCTGTTGTTCTTGTTAAAGGCAAGGTATTGGGTTTGGTCACGAAGTGGACACCTCCGTAAGGTTTTATTAAGAGATAATAAGTTCGGAGGTGAAGGGGAGGGCCAGTGAAGTTTTAAGTACACATAGTGGATAAAGAACAAAAGCAGTGAGGCTGGGGAGATGGCTCAGCAGTTAAGAGCCCTGGCAGCTCAAGAGCATTGGCTGCTCTTCCAGAAGACCTGGGTTCTTCCCAGCACGCACATGGCAGTTCACAACTGTCTGAAACTCCATTCCGGGGGAATCTGCTGACATCCTCACACAGACACACATGCAGGCCAAACACCACACCAATGCACATTAAAAAATAAAAAAGAACAAAAGTACTTTGAGGTAAGCAACCTGTCATAGAGTACACATCAATACAATAGCTACCATAGGTCAGGGTACCTGTAACCCCAGCTGAGCCAGCGGGATCTCAGCTCAAGACTATCCTGAGCTGCAAAGCAAAACCTTGTCACAAAACAACCAAGTGTACCATTACCATTTACCAAGTCAGGTGCTGTTGTTTCTGGTGATGCTGCCCCGGGGAACAAAAAGACCCTTTGATGATCGAAGGCTAAGTGAAAGCATTCTGTTTCACCCTGTGTTTGCAGAGTTAAGCCAGCAGCTGAATTACTAAATGAAGAGATGAGCGGGGAAAGTAACAACAGCAACAACAACATGTTTGCCGGAGAGATTGGAGCGAGAACTGAAGAGGTAATGAGACAGAGCCGGGCCATTCAGATGGCCCATAAAAAGACTCATCCACAGTGGCAGGTTTACAGAACATGACAGAGGAAACTGTGCTTAGCTGACAGGAGGAAGCAGAGAAAAACAAAGTCTGTGATGAAAACTGGAAAGGAGCCACAAAAGCCTACAAAAAAAACAAGGAAGGCCATTTTTGAATCAGATCCTGGAGTGACTGAAAAGCCAGAGTGTCATTTGAGGATGCAAGAGTAACGCTGGGCTTTTTTGCATTTTTTTTTTTTAAAGCAAATCTTGTTGAGTAAGCTGGGTGTGGTAGCTCATGCCTGTCATCCCAGCATGCAGGCTGAAATGGGGGTCAAGAGTTCAAGATCACCCTCAGTTACATAATGAGTTTGAAGCCATTCTAGGCTACAGGAGATTTGGTCCTAAAATACATACATACATACATACATACATGCATACATACATGCATGCATGCATGCATACATATCCTGTTAAATTGGGGGAGTATAGGTGGGTCCTGTAGTATGGATATTCATGTTTTCATTTACATTTTTCTTTTAGTTGCAGAAAAATCCAGAAAGGTTAAAACAATTTTTTTAAAGATATTTAGATTACACCCGTTTTACAGATATCTTTAGAAACCTAAAGAAAAAGAAAAGCTAGAACTAGAAGTGAGGTATGATGGACAACCTTGAAGACAAGTCATGAAGGACTCTACTAGCCATTTTTACTCAGTGCCTATTCTGAGCTGAGATGAGGACATTTGTGAGCAAATGTGCAGCTTCTGTCCTTTTGAACTTATGAAGGGAGATAGTCATCAATAAACTATGATCGATGTTTTGATAGAATTTCCTGGGGTAATGGGCAGAGAAGTACCAAGACCAGGGCATCTAGAAAGGAAGTGGCATTTTAACTAGAGTGTGAAAGAAAGGAGGATGAGAAGAGAAAGTTCCAAGGGATAGAAATAGTATGTGCAAATACCCCGAGGTGGGTGAGAGCAAACCAGCTTAGAGGAATTGAAAGCCGGGGACTATGGTTGCAGTACAGAGTTCTAGAGACATGAGGAGAAAGGAAGCTACAGAAATACACAGACACAAGATCCTAGAAGGTCATGTGAACTGTGGTGAGGAGTTTGAATTTCATCCTGACAGAATAGGAACACATTAAAACATGTATGCAGAGAAGAGAAATGCTGCTGTTGGTTTTAGGAAGTAGCCACTTTGAAACAGAGTTGGGTTTTGTCCTCTGACCTAATATACACCTTTTGATTTTGCCCCCCCCTCCCATGCTGGGGGTCAAAGCCAGGGCCTTGCACACACCACGTGCTCTGTAGCAGAGCTCTAGCTGTCCCTCATGCTCTTTCTTTGTAGGACTTTTTCCTTGGTGTATTGAATGATACCTTTCCTTAGGTCTATCTTCAGTGAAGTTTGTAGAGCTTCTTCACTATGTGGCTCAAGATCTCAAGGAAACTGCTGTTCGTTATTATTGCATTAAGACATAATCTCATTGTGTAGCCCAGGATAATCTCAAACTTGTGAGCCTGCAGCCTCAGTCTCTTGAGTGTTAGCATTGAAGTGCACCACCAACACAACTGTTATTTCTTCACATATTTCTGTTTCATCACCGCCCCCCCCCACACACACACGAGACTTCAACTACATACACATTCTATCCTTCTTTGCTAACTATTCTTTTGTCGCTCTATGCCTCAGTCTAGATACTTCCTTTGATTCGCTGTTCTAGTTCACAGATTTTCTCTTCAGCTGTATCTTTTCTGTTAAACTGTTTACTGAGTTCTTATTTTAGTTACTGAATATGTAAGCCCTTTGTTTGTTTGTTGATACAGGGCCTCTTTATGCAGTCCTGAATGTCCTGGAACTTGCTATGTAGACCAGGCTGGCCTTGAACTCACAGAGATCCTCCTGCCTCTGCCTCCCAAGTGCTGGGTTTAAAGGTGTGCAATTCATAAGTTCTTCAATTTTACTTTAGTTCTTTTTTATGGCTTCTGTATCTATGCTGAAACTATCTTGATATTTAATTCCTTGGAATATTAGCCACAGCTATTTTATATTCTCTGTCTGATGATATCTATAGCTGGATCTCCCTTGGGTCTCTTTCTATTGTCTGATTTTCTTCTTGTCATTTCTTGTGTGTTTGTAAGCATAGTGGAGTTTTTATTTTAAAAGTGGGCCTTGCATCTTACAAAACTACAGAAATGATTTTGTGTGTGTATGCTATTTTGATTTAAGATTCTGTGGTTCTGGTTAGCTGGGGCTGAAGGATCAACTGTGATTAACAAGATATTAGAACTACTAAAGCAAAACCTTTGCTTTGCTGGGATACTTGATGCTGGTCGACTAGAGCTGAGAATTTAGTGGTGATTAAGACCAGCATTGTTGAGGTGAAACCTTCTGGGAAGTGTTTCCTAAGAGTCAGCACACAGAAGCTGTGTTCCAGAGGTGGCCAAGGTTGTACCTCGTGCTGGCAGCCAAACTTGGTAATGTGTAAGAGTCATCCAGGCAGTACTGGTTTTGAAGGGCATGAAAGGGTCATGGGGAGCAGCTGAGGCTTGGCACTGTGAGAGGCCATTAGTGAAGGAGCAGCCTCAGTAGCAGTTGAAGACCCATGAATGAAGAGGCCATGAAGAGAAGCTAAGGTCTGGCACCTTGAAGAGAGCCTATGAGAGGCTATTGGTGAAAGTGCAGCCCAGTTGCAGCGGATTTAGCCAGATGGTTTTTGGTCTTTCTTTGGTCTGGAATTTCCTCACTATGTTCTCTCTCTTCCCCTTTAGAATAGCAATGTATATCCTGTGCCATTGTATATTGGAAGTATGAGCTGAGTTTTTATTTTGATTTTATAGGGGATTATAGTTAAGAGATTACCATGAGTCTCAGAAGAGACTTTGGATTTCTATAAACTATGGTGACTTTTAAAACTGGACTAAATGAATTTTGCACTATGATATGGCTACAAGCCTATGGGGGCCAGGGAGTGGAATGTGGTGGTTTGAATAGGAATGGCCCCCTATAGGCTGACAGAGAGTGTCACTATTAGGAGGTGTGGCCTTGTTAGAGGAAGTGTGTCACAGTGGGTGGGCTTTGAGATTTCATATGCTCAAGCCTGGCCAGTGTGTCACAGTCTTCCTGCTGTCTGTGGATCCAGATGTAGAACTGTTAGCTCCTTCTCCAGCACCATGTCTGCCTGTGTGCTGCAATACTTCCTACCGTGATGACAACAGACTAAACCTCTCAACTGTAAGCCAGCCCCAATTAAATATTTTCTTTATAAGAGTTGCTGTGGTCATGGTGTCTCTTCACAGCAATAAAACCCTAACTAAGACAGCAGGTAATTGGAAGTAGAGGTGATTAAAAAAGATTTATGTTTATTATTATTTTTAATTATGTGTGTGTGTGTGTGTGTGTGTGTGTGTGTGTGTGTGTGTGTGTATGTGGGTGGAAAATGTGTACGTGAGTTCAGGTGCCCCTGGAGACCAGAGGCATCAGATCCTCCCAGAGCCAGAATGTAGGTGGCTGTGAGCTTCCTGATGCTGGGAACTAAGTTCAGATCTTCTGAAGTAACATCCCATGCTTTTAACTGCTGAGCCCAGGGATAATATTTTTTAAAATATGGGCCTATTTTTAGTTCTAAAGTTTGTTTGTTTTTTTTGTTTTGATTCCCAGCTGTTTTAATTGTTTATCACTATATCTCAAAAACATTTCAATATTTGTGGCTTAAAACATTCATTTGTTCTTTTCTTCTAATTCCTTGGGTTGGTAGAACAGTTTTTTGCCCCAATTGGATTGTACCCACATACATACACATAATTTAAAATAATAATAAACATAAATCTTTTTTAAAAAAAAAAACCACCTCTACTTCTAATTACTAGCCAGAGGTAAAGTAAACACACAAAATCAGCCCTGTAGTTTTTAAGACATAATGCATAGTTTTAAAACAAACAAGAACTTCACTGTGCTTACAAAGATACAAGAAGTGAGAAGAGGAAAGTCAGACAATAGAAACACTTTGGTGTTGGCTGGGACCACACTTAAAGATCCATTCATCTGGGAGCTTGGCTGGGAAATTTTAATGCCTTCCACATGATCTCTCCCTCAACATAATGTCCCATCTTGCAGGCCTTATGGCATATCTCCCCCCTTGGAATAACCTTGACTTAGTCTGAAGGCTGGATCCTAAAATGCAACCCCAATCAGCAAAAGCATATGAAATCTCTCTGTTTTAAAGAGATTTATTTTGTATTATTCTTATTTGTGTGTGTCCGTGTAAATGAATGCCACATTAGTGTGGGTGCCAGTGGAGGCCAGAAGAAGGTGTCAGGCCTCTAAGAGCTGGAGTACATGGTTATGAGCTGGTTATGAACTGGGTTGGGTGCTAAAAATCATACTTGGGTACTCTGGAAGAATACTAACCATGCTTAACCACTGAATTATCGCTCTAGCCCTTTGAATCTCTCTTTATGTGAGCTTTACTGATGTACTGTTGATTAAAAAAAAAATCACATGCCACATCCAGAGCCACTGTGAAGAGGACTTTCCAAAGATATAAATACTAGAAGACCTGGTTCATTGGGAGAGGGTGGATGGGACACATCACCAATATAACATATCCAGTGAAATTTTAGGTGTCCTCTTTAGTGGCCTTTGATCTCCAAATTGTCATCTTAGCCCATTAAGACCACCCAGTGTTCTCTGAGTTGCATATTGAGAGTCAGCAAATATATCAAAGCGGTGTCAAACGATTGACAGGTTCGTCTCCATGTGCCTTCTTTCTCTCTGGGGTTTGACCCTTCAAGTGCTCCCTGTCTTGGAAACTTGGCAGGTTCTTCAAACACAGTCTTGCATTCTGCCCAAGTTTTCTAGTTGTCCTCCACAGATGGCATTAGCTTCAGTGAGCAGATCTGCCATCACTGGAAGCAGAAATCCCACAGAGGAGAGAAGATGGCACAGAGAACTTCAGAGTAGAGGCTAAAAACAATAGGACAGGCT